TCTCAGTGACGTTTTCGTCCGCGTTATTTTTGGCCGAAGAACAGAATTTCACAGAACAGAAGATGCTAAAAATAAACTCAAAGAATTGAAAGCTCAGTTAGCTCTAACTCCAGGCGATCTAACAAGTCAGCTTCAACCTTTAGATATTTGCATTAATAAACCATTTAAGCGATTTATAAAGGAGGAAGTGGAATAGCTGGACGTAATCTTCAAATTTTGAGGTTACACCACCAGAAAGAAGAAAGAGGCTTAGCATGTCGGAAGTTTGTGAATGGGTCAAAGCTTCATGGGATGCTGTGAAAAAAGAGACAGTGGTTAAATCATTTAAGAAGTGTAACATGAGTAATGCATTGGATGATAAAGAGGTTAATTTGTTGCATGTAGGATCAGATGCTGATTTAGAAGGACTTTTAAGTGACTCTTCATTTAGCTCTGGAGATAAGTGTCTGGGTTTTGACGAAGAATATTAAAATGTGTTCTTTCCAAGGTAAGATAGATTGGGTACTTGCAGAAAATATTGTTACGAATTTGGTATTTAAAAAGCTAATGTTAGTTCAATTATAAATTAAATGGTTTTATTTCTCGCGCAGTGCAGCGCGTGACGAATATTAAAAGAAAGCTAAGCCCCGGAAAATTGAAAATACAAGACCGCGTGCATTAAATAAATAAATATCGCTTTTTGATTTCGAGAAAGTACTGGAAAATTCTAGCGCGTGATTTTAAAAATTTATAAAAGGAAGAAAACATCTCAGTTTGTAGTAGTTGCTTAGTTTGTTGTTGTTTAGAAAACTACTGTGAGGTATTGTAATACTGCATGATAATTTGAGAAGATTTAAGCATTTTTGTTGTGATAATAATAAATTTTTGTTCATTTTGCATCGGACTTGTGCATTCATTTCATAACGAACCCGTACGCACACAACAATTTTTGGTGTCAGAAGTGGGATTTGAATGCCAATAACAAGAGCGATGAAGGAGCAATTGAGACAGCTCATCAGTGCTTTTGCTGCATTTAAAGCAGAAATGAAAGAAAAGATGGATGCTGGTCAGGATAAGTGGAAGATTCCGTTAAAGGAGAGATGAGATCTGTTAGGGAGGAAATGAAATTGGGGCAGGAATCCGTTAAGGACGAAATGAAAGCCGTTCAAGCTGGTCAAGAAGAAATAAAAAGAGAAATTACCTGCATAATAGAAAATAAATTTGAAGCTATGGAAGGCAGAATTGACACAGTTGAAAATAAAGTTGGACAAATTGAAGAAAAAGTTTCTTCCGTAAAAGAACAAATTGAAGAAAGAGTTTCTTCGGTGAAAGAAGAAATAGAAGAAAGAGTTTCTTCTGTAAAAGAACATATGGAAGGAAGTGTTTGTGCCGTCCAACACCAAATCGAACAACAAATTGATGATAGGGTTTCTGCAGTAGCCAAAGAAGTGGATATTTTAAAGAAATTCGTAGCGACGGCAGGGAACAATAGTGATGGTTTTAAATTTTTACCCATGCCTGCTCGTCCCTCTCTGAAGTTATCCACTTATGATGGGAAGACCACCTGGCAGGTGTAAAAAACACAATTTTCTATAGTGGCGGATGCGAATGGATGGGATTCCCAAACTAAGGCCTGTCATCTCGCCGCTTCGCTGATAGCAGACGCAGCGGATATCCTGCAGACGCTTCCTGAAAACCAAAGACTAGATTTCGAAGCTCTGTCCGGCGCCTTGGAGTTGCGCTATGGGGAGAAGTATTTAAAAGACTACAGCAGGCTCCAATTAAAATCTCGTCAACAAAAGCCTACCGAAACACTTCAGGAGCTCGCCACGGATGTTGAAAGGCTGCCCCATCTCGCCTTTTCAGAATGCCCGACAGAAACAAGGGAAATCCTGTCCTTGCAATACTTTATCGACGGCATCCCAGATACTGAAATACAGAAAGCTCTACGAATGGCGGATGTAAAAGATTTAAAAAGTGCTCTAGTGTACGCCATGAAATTTGAGGCAGCCCAGCAAGCCACTCGTCGAGACCGCCACCCAGTCAGAGCTGCTCAAGTCCAGGAGCCAGGGGATCAAGTCACCGCTCGTCTAGACGATTTAACTAGACAACTGAACGCCTTGAGACGGAATATTGGTGAGAAGAAACCGACCGTTAACTGGAACTGCGGTGCTGAAGGACACATACGACGAAACTGCAAAACACCCCAGGGTACGGATGTTAAGACCGCTTCTAACAAGCAGCAGGGAAACTAATTAGTGGCCATCTCGCGGGGCGGAGGTTGCCAGATAATGAAAAGCCCCCGTTTAAAGCGCTTCAGATTTCTGCAGTGAGAGGCGGCAGTAATGGACTTTTCATAATAGGACATATTAATGGAGTTCCGTGCAATATGGCGATAGATACAGGAGCCAACGTTACCATCATCCGAAAAGATTTGGCTCAACAACTGGGAAACAAACTTATCTGGACGCTGCCCTGCGTTACTCCAGACCGTGTCCGGTGAGAAGATCGACATCGATGGAAAAATAAACGTTAACATCACGTTTGGAAGTGCCGCTTACCATCACACGGCATATGTAGCAGAGATCACTGATTCTTGCATACTCGGATTGGACTTTCTAAGGAAATACAATTTTTCCTTGGACTTTAAAAATAACGAATTGCGTTCTACATCTGAGGACATAGCCCTATTCGGAATTAATGATGGAGTGAAATCTATCCACAAAATTATAGCTCAAGATGATATCACAATTCCCGCAAGAACCGAGTTTTTACTTCCTGGATCCATAGCCGAAAATAGAAATTTCCGCTACGGCATCATAGAATATCCCGATAACTGTAATAGCCCAAAAGGAGTACTAGTAGCCTCAACACTCGTCGACCTATCCAGAACGGTTATCCCGGTGAGAGTCGCCAATGTAACTGAGAAGGCGAGAGTTATTAAGAAAGGTGAAGTGGTTGCAACATGTACTCCAGTAACCACCGTTGAAAGAAAGAGTAACATCCAAGAAGCCATGCCTTCAGAAAGCATTACATCAGAGTTACTTCAGAATGCGCAATTAAACGATGAAGAGAAGAATGCTGCCGATCGCATTATTAAAGATCTTCAAGTTGTTTTCTCCCGCTTGTCTTCTGACGTGGGTCGAACTAGTTTGACACAACATAGAATAGATACCGGCGATCATCCCCCTATCAAGCAACATCCAAGGCGTCTACCGTTTGCTAAACAGGAAGAGGTGCGAACACTGTTAAAAGATATGGAAGAAGGCGATGTCATCGAGCTTTCAGCAAGTCCATGGGCATCTCCCATCGTTCTCGTCAGAAAGAAAGACGGCTCAACAAGATTTTGCGTTGACTATCGCCGGTTGAATGAGGTTACGAAGAAAGACAGTTACCCTCTTCCTAGAATTGACGACATTCTAGACACTCTTTCTGGAAGCAAGTGGTTCTCAACGCTTGATTTAAAGAGTGGGTATTGGCAGGTAGAAATACACCCTGATGACCGAGAAAAGACGGCATTTACTACGGGACAAGGGCTTTGGCAATTCAAGGTGATGCCGTTTGGACTGTGTAATGCTCCGGCAACATTCGAACGCCTCATGGAGACTGTTTTGAAAGGACTTACCTATGAAGCCTGTCTGATATACCTGGACGATATCATCATCGTCGGAAAGAGTTTTGAAGAGCATCTAGAAAATCTTAGAAAGGTGCTTCAGAATCTAAAGCTGAGTCCCGCTAAATGCAAATTGTTCAGAAAGGAAGTGACTTACCTGGGACATGTCATCTCTACAGAAGGTGTGTGCACGGATCCTGAAAAGGTGTCAGCCGTTAAATCCTGGAAACGTCCCGAAAATGTCCATCAGCTGAGAAGCTTCCTAGGGCTTTGCACCTACTATAGGAGATTCGGGAAGGACTTTTCTTCCATCGCAAGACCCCTTCACAAGCTGACAGAGAGTAAGCAAAAGTTCTTGTGGACAAAAGAATGCGAGATGCATTTAACAACTTAAAGGATGCTTTAACATCTGCTCCAATCCTGACGTATCCTCAGCTCGACAGCTAGTTATTTAGTGTCCTCAGCTAGTTATTTAGTGTATGTTATAATCAAAATCTTCTATTTATAACATAAAGGATTTCAAATTTCTGTTCTAAAATTGTCTATATTAACATCGCTTACTTATTTTTCCGGAAAGTAAAAACAATTTCATTGTCACTGTATGAGTTGCATTTTCTGAACTTCACGTTTAATTTTACTACCACGCGTTTAAAACCTAAAAATAAACGGATAAATGTTTTTCTATCTTTCTTCTTCCTTCTCATGTTGCTTTTGCATAAAGCATGAAACTTGTTCTCATTACGTGATTAGATGTTTTAAAATCTCTTGAGTATTGATAAAGTAACATCAATTAACTTGCAATGACTTTCATTTTTTTGTAACGCTTTATATCAAAAAGTAGCTGTTGGCTTGTTATACCTTTAGAACGTTTACCGCTAACCAGCGGCGTTTCAATTTTTTTCTAGTGACGCCTGATTTGGCCAATATATTCTTTATTTGCAATATATTTAAGTTCATGTACAGCCAAAATATTATTTCTTAGCAAGCAGCCTAAATATTTCAGGTACTAATGGCCGCTTGTGGAGTTTTTTTATTAATAACAATAAATGAATAAAAGTAGTCGATATCTAACGCATTATCTATCAGTCTCATGAGATCTTTTGAACTCCATATTATTTTGTTTCTTCTCGCCTTTTGCGAAAAAATTAGTTTTGATATGTCTACTTAATCTACAGCATTTGCGTATAATGCTCTAAAGCTACTACATGACCCTAACCTTAATTTTAAATGGATTTAGGAAGACTATTTAGAATCCTAACTGCTAAATGCTCATATTTTATATCTGTTTCAAATATGATTTATATTTAGCTGCTTGAGTAGTAAATATTTCTAATTCCTTTTGAAAATGCAATTTACAATCATTTTTCATTTTTGATTGCAGTTATTCCAACATGTTTAATTTTGACAGGTCGAGACCGAGACCGAAACAGGAAGTGGAATCAGTGCCGATCCTAGACCTACGGCCGCCCAAGTGCATATAAAAATTGTCCGCCTTTTTTTACAGAAATATAAATATGTTGATAATCATTTAATCATTTCGCCGCCCTTAAATTCGGCTGCTCACGTGCTGTGCATCATTTTGCCACTCGTTACCATCCACCCTGAATAGAATCTCTATCTGAATAATCTTTTAATAGTCAAGCTTAATAATAATAGCTTAAATCTTTTAATAGTCAAACAATGAAAAAAAGTAACTCTAATGTTGCAACTCTCAGGGATGCAACGTGCAGGTTACAAATTAAATAATCACAGCAGGGATTATTAATATAAAGATTTAATATGGATATCTCACATAAGCTGAAAACGTTACATTACTCTATTAAGTGCATACATATATGCGACATGCGACGGGGGACGTGGGCACCACCCCTTTACCGTCGGTTAATTGGTGTAGCGCCACGTCCACCAATATCTAGAGTTGAACCTTGAGTCTTTCAAAAGAGCAATTACATGGCCATACAAGGGCTGTTAATATTTAGTATTACATTCTTGTTTGCTGGTTAACATATTCTATGGATAACGTGATTTACAGAGTTACATAATGACTTTGTCTCTCATTTCCGGCATACAATGCATATGCATTACCTGAATTACATTAATCTTACATTGCGTTGGATTACTTTTGTGTACAGTTACAGTTTTTAGCTGTACATTTCAATAAATATACCTACATTACTTGTAGATTGCATATAAATACAGTTTGCATGTACAGTTACATATGCCAATATTACATGTGCCTTGCGTTACATTATTTTTATATACATACATAGTCAGGCACGCCTGCTTCACATATTACTTAATTTTACCTACACTGCTTAACCTTAGGTTACATATACTTGCAGTTGCATATAGATACATGCAGATACATTCTGATTAATTTTTTAGATACAAATATTTACAAACATAATAGTCTTACAGGTTACTTACATTACATGTTATTTGGGTACTTATTGCATAATTTTCCAGTACATGAAATAGACATTCCAATACATACATTGCTTTGCGTTAGACATCCTTTAGAGACATCCTATATCCCTTATTCATAATACAAAACATATATGTTACCCATGCATTTTTATTAGACATTTCTGCATTTATATTGCATTACTTTAAATTGCATAACTTACTTATACATAGCTTACTGATACACAAAAATATTTACATATATTACACTCCCTTACATTACTTTGCTTACGGAAATGCACTTTCATACATTCGTTATGCCTACATTATATATCGGTTCATTATATATGGTCTTACGGTATAATTTGCCGAAATTTATTTACACAGTACATGCACATTGTTAAATGCAACTGACTTTCCAGGTATGAATACAGGCAGTCTTTATACTGTGAGTTTCTAGTCTACATTATAGTTTCTTACAATTCACTTGAATGACAGTTTTCCTACATTGCAATACATGTCCTTTTTAAAATGCTTAAGTTGTTTTTACATGCTGGGTTGTTCTATGGCTGACACAAGTCTGTATCTAAGTCGGACAGTCTGTCCATCAACTGTACCAGCTTTTTAATAAAGTGCCGCTGTTTTTATCATATTTACAGAACGGCTGGCGATTTGTTTCAGGGAGATTGATATGCAGTCCTTCTGTTAATGGGCATGACGTTAGATAGTGCTCTGGTGAGCCTGAGTCGCCGCATGCACATTGACTTGTGTGACTTATGCCACGCTTGAAGAAATATTCCGGGTAGGGCCCATGCCCGGAAATGAACCTTACCAACTGTGCGTTCGCTACATTTCGGCTAGTGTCCACATAGCCGATGAAGTAGTGGGTCCTTCTCCCTGTGGTGCTTTGGTCCCATTCGTTCTGCCACATGCCAGTAGCCCTTAGGCGTAGTGTCTTCTTTAAATACGAATGCGGCCATGGGATGATAATTGGTGCATCAGGCGGGTCAGTTGTTGCCTCTTTGGCGAGTTGGTCGGCAAGTTCATTGCCATAGTGGCCAACATGAGCCTTTATCCACTCTAATTTTGTGCGGTACTGGGGGTTACTTCTAAGATCTCTCTGGATTCCCTGTATAATCTCCGAGGGATGATCTGCATTCCAAATGGCATATAACGATGATAAGCTGTCCGTTTTAATGGTGACATGGCTATGCTGGTGCGAGTGCAGGTAGCGAATCGCTTGTGCAATTGCCACTGCTTCGCTTTGAAAGACACTGTTATGTTGTCTTAACTGTCCCTTCCATTTCTCGATTGCGTTGTCTTGTTTCGTGGCGACATAGGCGCATCCCACTCTTTCGTCCAATCTAGACCCGTCTGTATAGATGGTCATTTCCCTTGAGTGATGAGTTGCAGTGGGATTAATTGAGATAAGTATCCCTTTGCCTTTCTCTGCCGGGTGGACGTCAAGAGGGCAGAAGTTTGTTTCGTACTCATCCGGGTAGTATGTTTCATCGTCAAAAGTAACTGCCTTCTTAAGTTGCAAAATGTGTTGGCGTGCTGCCTCCTCCTCAACCCGGATGTGCAGGGGAAGGAGACCAGCAAGTACGTTAATGGCATCGGTGGAGGTGGTGCGGTAGGCCCGTGTGATTCCCAATGCGAATGGTCGTTGTATGCTGTTAAGATGTCTGACCTTCCTTCCTTGCATTGGGTAGGCCCATACTGCGGCAGCATACGTCACTATCTTCTCGATGACTGTCGTGTACAATACCTTTTGAATATGGGGGTTAAGCCCCCATTTGTGACCATAAAAGAGTTTCATTTGTTTGGCTATGGCTGCCGTCCGGAGTTTGAGATCCTGCACGTGAGGGATCCAGGTCATCTTATGATCAAAAGTGACCCCTAAATATCTTAGCTGGTCCACTATCTGCAGGCGTTGGTTGTTAATCTTTATGGTGGGGCGTCTTACTAAGGATCCTCCTTTTTTCGGAATTAAAAGGACTTTTGACTTATGTTCTGCAATTGTGAGCTTAAGTTTGGTACACTGGTCATGAAAGATCGCGCAAACTTCATTGCAATTTTTCTGTAATTTTTCTCGCGTGGTACCCTTTACGATAAGCGCCGCGTCATCCGCGTATGCAATGATTTTAGTGTGCGCCGGCCACGTCGCTGTCAGTACTTCATTGAACGTTAAGTTCCATAAATGCGGCCCGGCGCACGATCCTTGCGGACATCCTCTAGTTTGCACCTTTTCGATAATGCCTGCATTATGCACCGCTAATAGCTTCCGATCCTGCAGGTAGTTGCTTATTATACTATATATGTTACTTGGGCAATTGGCCCTTCGTAATGCCTGCTTGATAGCCGGCCACCACAGCGTATCGAAAGCATTCTTTAGGTCTATGCTGACCATAGCCGTGTGGTGGCCGCTGTGTCTATTTTCCAGAATTGCCTCCTTTATATTATGGAGGGCATGCACCGTCGATGAACCAGTCCTGAAGCCATATTGGCTGCTGCTGAGATAACCGTTGAGATGCAAGTGGTGGCGCAGTCTGTTGATGATTAGCTTCTCCAACACCTTCCCCATCGCCGACAAAAGGCAGATGGGTCTGAATGATGAGGCTTCTGAAGGATCTCTGTTTTTCTTGAGGAATAATACCACTTGCCCTATTTTATATGGTGTTGGAAAAAGTCCTACTGACAGAAGCTTATTGAAATAGCTTACGAAGAATGTAGGGTATGCCTTTATGGTAGCTTTTACGATTGTGTAGTCCATGCCGTCAGTCCCGGGGGCTTTCTTTCGCGGCAGACTTGCCAGCACTCTCTGCAGTTCTTGAAGCGTGAATTCCGGATCTGCTTCTGTGTCTACACTATTTGTATCTGCTCGAAGGGCAGCTTGTTCGGCGGTGTCTTGCTCTGCATCGTCCTGACTGAACACAGTATTTAAAACTACATTCAAAGTGTCAGTCGTGTAGCTTTGGCTGCTATCCAGTGATGACGGGATTTGAAGCTGCGAAGGCTTGAACACCTTTCCCGTTGCTATCTTGTGATGCAGCCCGTATATATCTTTTGTATTGGAACAGAACTCTCTCCAAGATGTTACTTTGACCTGGATGATCATCCTTTTGTATTTTGCTCGCTCTCTTTGAAAAATGGTGAGTGTGTCCGAGGTGATCTCTAGCCGCCTCTCGTACTTCAATCTCCTTCGCAAAGCCCTGCATTTACGCTGTTGTTGCTTCTGTAATGCGCCCGTCCACCAGTGCATTTCCTTTATCTTCTGAGGTTTTTTTTCTTGGGGAGATTTTGGTCACAAACTAATTGTAGGGTGTTCTGTAGCCTGATGGAGAAATTCTCCAAGTCTGCCATTGTGTCTGCATGCTGTAGCGCCGGTTCAAGAGTTTCCAGGTGCCTTTTAACCTTCCTAGTGAAGGTAAGGAGCTTTCTACCTGGGAGATTGTACCTTTTAATTTTGGTGATAGATGTCGACTGCCGCAGAGAGTAAGTTATAAATTTGTGATCACTTAGACTTTCTTGATCATCTACTTTCCAATCTGTCAGTAAGAACGCTGCTTGCAAAGACGTAATAGTGAGATCGGGCCAGCCCCGAGCGAAGATTCTGTCGAAGGAGGGTGGCGCTTCTGCGGTATTGTGGATAACAAGATTTTTCGAGCTGAGGAAGTCCTCCAGTTCTCTGCCCTTTGTGTCCGTGGCACGATAGCCCCAGGTAGTATTATGGGCGTTATAATCTCCCCCGAAAAGTACGTATGGAATCTTTATCTTGTGTAAAACTTGCTCCATGAACCTTGCAGTGGGCCCAATTTCCACTGTCGGTGGCGAGTAGCTCGAAGCGATGGCCAAAGTAAGTGAATGAACTTCCAGGAGTACTGCAATGTTGTCTTGTTCCGCTGCGATGATAACCGGCGACCAGTCCGGCCTGCAACATACTAAAATTGCTTTTGGTGCATTATCTTTATCTATTTTCTGAAATACCGTCCATTTTACCGGGAAACCTACTGCCATCCCCTCTCTGACATAAGGCTCTTGACCAAGGATTATATCTATGTTCTTTTCGATTGCATATTGTATTGTTTGAGCGACTGCCGCTCTGGCGCGCTGCATATTGATTTGTAGT